TTTTCAGATGTGTTGAGCATCCTCAACTCCCACTGATTTCAACCTGCAGCTGCATGTTCCAGCACCTCTGAAAATCAGGCCTGTTGTCGCTGCAGCCCTAGCATGTGGGGCTGAGATTCCCTCAAAATCCTGCAATCTTAAATGGTTTCCTTCCTTAAACAGGATTTAGCAAGGGAAATGTATGGGACAGAACAACATGGAGGACATGCAAAGAGCAGCCCAACACAGATGATGGTGGAGCCATGTTCGTGTCTTAAGCAATATCTGGCAGGGTGGGAAGAATTCAGAAATGATTCTGAAACTTCCCAGCTGCAGTGAGGATTTGGAGGGGGCCAAATATTTTTGCCAAAGCAGGAATTTGGCCAGGACCCAGAATCTTAGTGGACTGGTGCTGGGAGGAATAATCTGAGAGCTTGAGTTCTACATCTCATCATCCCTTAGTGCTGTAGGATCAGTGTTGATTCAGAAGAACAAGTGTCCCCCACTGAATCACTAACACTACTTTCTGCAGCATAGCACCACTCTGGAGCACTGGGGTCAATACTGGTCAGGGACACTTCTCATGGTAGCTGGGCTTTTCTTGGTAGTCTCCCTCTCTACCTACAGAACTGCCCTGACCCTGCTTAGCTTAGGAGTGCGACTTAACGCACAGCTTGAGGAAGAACTGCTCTAGGCCCTTGTTACAGAACCCATTTCTAGCACTTGTGAAACTGCTCATTGAAAAGGAAACTGACAAGCCACTGTCACTTCCTTGTCATTCAAATCCCTGGGATTGTTTACCCAGCCCTTGTCCGTATGCCTGGTGGCAGGCAGTTCCTTTTGTTACAGGACTGGAATATGAATCCATGGCACACCTGGCCAAAGTGACATCCCCGGAGCCTGTTTAATTACCTGATCACAATAGACACTTGGCTGTTAGTTGCCGAGAGACGGTGAAGATGACACAAGTTTCATGAGACGGTGTTGTCGGAGCACAGCTTTGTGTGTATGCAGGTGTATAGCCAGCTCTCCTCGCTATGTGGATCTGCCTGGTAACTCCTACCATGGGGAATGCCCATTCATGATTTCCCTGAGCCTGTCCAAGGTAAACTGGGCTTGTTAGCAAAGTCAGAGCTCGTATCAACTGGGGCTGCTTGGTTCAGTAACAGTCACTGCTACAGGGTTGTGTTGGATGGGAAGGAGGGCTCCCCCGTCTAAGATCCAGGAGCAGCTGGCTCCATCAGGGAGAGATTACCCTGCAAAACTCACAGGGCCTTGTTTTATGATAGGCACACACCTGGAAATTGGCTTGTTGCCCCCCAACTCGCTCCATACAGGTTGCTGAGGAGCTGTCGGATGGAGGAGACCAGCTGGCACAGCTGAGAGGATCATGCCTATCCTCAAGGGGGCGCTGCCGACTGGGTGAGTCTCTTTCCTTGTACAATATCTTCCTAGATCTGTAAATATGTCTCAGTTGCCTCTGTAACGCCCCCCTCCCCCCAAATCCCAGGACCCCCCTACACCCAGAGAGGAGCTGTGTGAGCAGCAGCCCACATGCTGTGTATGTTCCCCCTCCTTGGGTGTTCCTGTCCCATAGAGCAATAATGTGCAAGCCTGTTAGTCACAGTGCAGGCGACTCCAGTCCAGTGCTCCCAAGGTGGGAATCTCTGCAGTATCCGTAGGCGCTGTCGTTCTAATGCGACTACTACAGTAAGGAACAAGCACAAAGCCACATTCTACCTCTCTCTGCCATGGCAGCACCTTGGGGAGAAGGAGGACCAGTGCCTGCCCTATTTGGAATCAGATATATGAAGAGCTTAACCTACTGCTGCTCTCTATAAATACATGTGGGGGGGGGGACAACACCCCAGGGACGGAGAAGAGCTATTGAAGCTAAAGGACAATGTTGGCAAAAGAACAAATGGGGATAAACTGGTCATGAATAAGTATATGCTGGAAATTAGAAGGTGGTTTCTAAGCATCAGAGGATGTTCTAGGACAGCTTCCCAGTAGGTCCAAATAACCTAACTAGTGTGATGATGGAGCCTGATAAGTTTATGAATGGGATGATATGGCAGGGTGGCCTGAGAAAGGAGGGGACTGGATCTGGTGACCCAGGAATCCCTTCAGTCCTATGTTCCTGACTGGCTCTCAATGGCACTTCTGTGAGTCAATTTCACCTACCGATGTTCTGATCTTACCAGTCTCCACTGCTTCTTTCCATTGCCCCTCTCACTCGGAGCTAGGGCTTCTAGGTTCTAGTCCTGGCTCCAGGAGGGAAGTGTTGCCTAGTGGTGAGAACTGGGTGTCAGGACTCTTAGGTTCTATTCCTGTCTCTGGGAGGGAATGTTGCCTAATGGTTAGAACAGAGAAATGGGAGTCAGGACTCTTGGGGTCTATTCCTGGCTCTGCCAGTGGCATGCTGTGTGACATTAGTCAAGGCTCTTCCCCTCTGGATGCTTGTTTTCCCCATCTGTAAAACAGAGACAATATATTATCTACCTCATAGAGGAACTGAAGCTTAATTAATGAGGGGTGGTAGGCTCTGAGGATACATGTAAAACACATCAAGATCCTCTGCACGGCCTTATAATTGCAAGGTGCTGTTGCCACTGCTCTCGTTCACTGCGGGTAAGTTGACCCTCCTCAAGACACTCCCAATGGGGGAATATTTATAAGCCATATGTCTGTCTTGCCATCCACCCACCCTCTGCGATCCTTCCGTATCCAACACCACAACAGTTCCTGGGAACACTCTGTGGCCAAAAGAACGTGCAGCCCATCTGCCTTAGAAGACAGATGCTGGTGTGTGTGTGTTCTCCTTGCAGTCTGTCTCTGGGGTATTTATTACTCTCAATGTGTTATAAAGTCAATAGATCTGGGAGACCTGCTTGTATATCATGCATGAGACAAACAGATCTCCTGGGGGGTGTAGGTGTCTCTCTCTCTCTCTTTAACCCTCCTCTGTCCCTATGTCCAAGAGCCATGCAAGAAAAGGAGAACAGTACAGAATTTTAACCATATTCCCTTTGGTTTGATTTCCCCCTTAAAGGAAGCGGTTCAATTTTTAATTTGAATCTCAAACCCAGAATGCGCGGTGACAAAACAGTGGCATTCCACAGTTGTCACTCACTCACTGCACAGCACAGCTGTTCACAGCAACGGCAGCAATAGAACTCGGATACTCCTGCTGCAAAAAGCACAGACTGTGTCACTTGAGCTAAGCAGGAATCTCTGTTCGTGATATAGGGCTTATGACATATGGTGAAGCAGTTCTGATTCCATCCAGGGGAAGCAGAAGTGTGTGTGTACACATGGATCAGTTCAAACTAGCATGTGCATGTGAGTGTACACACTGCTCAACTCAATTCACTCCAGCATTGCACACACTGACCAATTCATTTCAGCATTGCTGTCCTTCTCCATAACAGTCTCACATTAGCGTGGGATTTACCAAAGCACCTTTGTGAATCAGGAGCACAAGTCCCATTGACTCTTGATAGGATTCGCTTAGGTGCTTTTGAAAACTCTGTCTTATATGCGCTACCAGATACTAAAAAACCTGCCAGCCCAAACTCATGCTGGAGTTACCAGACCAGGGAGTGCACCTCCTGCAGGCATTTAGAAATGGATCAGTTCACCCATTCATTCCCACAACAGGAAACAAGTTTGGTGTCTCTCAGTCCAGTTCCTCGAGGGACAGATATCTCCATCACAAAACCACCCTTGTAATAGTCACTGATTGCCCTGTCTTGCTGCAAGTCAGGGTGAAGAGGTCGAGAACGTTGTAGCCTGAGGACTGAACTCCCCTCCCCCGAGCACAGAACTAAGGGGAGGTCTACACTACAGACACTGTGCCAGGCCAGCAGAGCTCCATTGTACAGATGCAGCCTGGCCCTATACCGACAGAAGGAGTTTTTCTGTCGATGTAAGAACACCCCCCCTCCCAACAAAGGGTTTGTCGAGAGGCAATGCTGTAGTGCTTCAGTGAAGACACTACCATTGACATAGCTGTGTCTACGCTGGGGGGTTTGTTTGCATAGCTATGTTGGTCAGGGGTGTGATGTTTCACACCCCTGATCGATGTGCCTCTGCTGATATAATTTTTCAGCGTAGACCAAGCCTAGGGCCTCATCTACACGTAAAATTTAGATCAACCTAGCTGTCTTGCCCAGAGTGTGAAAAATTCATCCCCCGAGCAATGTAACTGAGCCATCCCTGATGTCGATGTGAGTCGGTCAAAGGAATTCTTCTGGCAATCTAGCTACTGCCTCTCGGAGAGGTGGATGAACTACGGAGATGGAAAAAACCCCTTCCGTCACTGTAGGAAGCTTCTACACTATGACACTTCAGCGCAGTAGCTCTGCCGTGCTAGCGCCTGTAGTGTAGACATAGGCTTGAGCTACAGCTAAAATGTAGCTGCATCCTCCAGTGGTGTGAAAAATTGACACCCCTGTGAGACGTAGTAAAGCCAACGAAAGCCCTGGTACAGACACTGCGAGGTCGACAGAAGAATTCTGATTTAGCTGCCACTTCTCGAGGATGTTGATTTACGACCGTGATGGAAAAACCCCTTCCGTGCTAGAGCAAGTGTCCAAACAACAGTTCTACAGCGGCATACCTGCAGTGGCATACCTGGGGCACGTGCCTAAGTGTCAGTGATGATGGGAAGCTAGCCCTGCATGGCTCATGCTGCCCCTGTAAGCAGGACTTGCTATCCAGCGATTCTCATGCCAGTCTGCTGCAGGTTTAAAAAGTGGATCAATTTAACCCTCCAGGCTACCAAGGACACTTCTGGGTGTGAACTGAATGTCTGTCCCACTAAGCTGTTCGGCTCAGACTTTGGGAGCCCACCCAAAGTCCTTGGGAAATATCTGGAGATATTTAAGAGTAGGTTAGATAAATGTCTATCAGGGATGGTCTAGACAGTATTTGGTCCTGCCATGCGGGCAGGGGACTGGACTCGATGACCTCTCGAGGTCCCTTCCAGTCCTATAATCTATGATTGATTCTATGAAAGAAGGGCAAATGGAATGAACGGTGAGGCACAAATATCAAAGGAGGTCGGGGTGAGGCCCAGAAAGCGAAGGAGAAGGCCCGGTGCATGCTAGGGCTCCACTTGCTGTTGTTGCTGATGCCTGTGCTGCGTGAAGAAGATAGAGGGGGAGTGCAGCCTTCAAAGCGCTCTTGGATGCCGGGTGCTAAAAGCAGAGGTCTCCTGAGACAAGGCTTTGAAACAAAACGGAAGAAAGGAGAGAGTGAATCACAGCAAGCGGGAGACAGAAAAAAATAAAGAAAAGGGACAAACACTTCAGTAAGATGCCTTCCACTAGCTAGAGGAGCATGCTGCTCGTTTCTTTAATGCGGGTTCCAGGGGCTGGATATAGAGAGCTGGAGCGTGTATCCCACAGCAGGTCTCACCCGGGCAGGGCAAGCCCCCAAACAATCCAAAATGCATCCATGCTGTCTGTCCATTGCCTTGCCAAAGTGCCTGTGACCAGTCTTGGAGGGACCCCTTTCTAGCTAGCTTCAAACAATCCACCTCCCCATTCCTGGGCCGGATGCAAGAAACGTGTTGATGAGGAAGGGCTGGGACTGGACCCTGTGGGGGCCACTCCCAGACCATTCTGTGCTCTTCAGGGAACACAGCCAGCCAGAGACATGCCCAGGGCTGGAGGAGGCCGATGAGGAGCGTGCTAGTGACAGTTGTGTGGAGTGGCCCCGTTTTGACTCCTGAAGGCGATCAGGTTCCAGTACCCCCCATGCTGTCTTGGCCCCACTAGTGGATAACAGCCTGTGATTTGGGTACTACCATCACCGCCTCCCACCTCTCAGGTGGTTGCTAATCCCGGAGAAAATATGCAGCACCTCAAATGTTCACTCTGTGGCCAGGAGTCCTGAGCTGAAACTAGTTCTGATTGTCAGCTGTATCAGCTCCGCATCAGGTAATCCCCTCTCTAATCCTTTTTCCACCAGTGGCTGCAGTTCTGCCTTAGAGCAGAGGCGCTGTCCATCCTCCTAGAAATTCTCCCACATCACTCACAGGCTTCTGCCTCATAAATATCACAAACGAAATCCTCTGGAGGTAATAACACCCCTCTCTGGACGCTCCTGTCCAAGGATTGCTAAGCACTTTACATATATAACTGGGCTGTTCATACAACCACAAAAGGCAGCCATAGAATTCCACTCCAGGCATCTTTTATTGTAGATTAAGGAAAATGATAAAACAACGGAAGAGAAATAAAGTCTCCATGAGGGAGAGAGTCCAGTGTGTGGGTCTCCCCTCTGGAGCATCCTTCGTCAGCTCTGCCTCACAACATGGCAGACACTTTAAGGTGTAGCACATATAAGCATAAGTCACACAGCTACAATTACAGGGAAATGTATGGATGGGAAAGTCTTCTAACTCTTTCTAGCGTAATCATTGGTTCCTGACTTCTGCAGCCAGAGTTTTTGTTCCGCTCCATTATTTGGGGAGCTGAGACAGTTCCCAGTCCAGGCTTTTTGCCTTTGTGGGGTTAAAGATTGGAGGAGATGCATGAGCTGAAAGGGCCACAGCTATCCATAAAGAAACAGGCAGAGAAGAACTGGCAATGGAGACCCCATCAAAGTGCAACCGTATTGGAGTCACTGGAAGGAGTTGTCACTTCCCTTCCATGAGCTGGTTTTGAGGTGGAAATTGCCAGATCCCTTTCTCAGTTTTGACCCAGCCAGTACAAAAATGAGTTTAAATAACTTGGCTGAATCCTTAGCAGTAACATTCATTGCCTGGTGGAGTTTTCCTTCCTAATATGCTTATCAGCCTCTGCTGAGAGCATGGTTAACTTCATGGTATAGGTGATGAGCAGACAGGTATGAAACTCAGTAATCTGAATCCTTCAGGGCCTGTAACCTCCATGTGCAAACAGACCCCAAACTCAAAGCAATTTAATCAAATCCACAGTTTTGGCCTTCACAGAGGAGCTGTGAGAAAATTCCAGTTTTGAATGTGATACACTGAGGTCAGCTTGAAACTCGACTCCGGAATGGAACAGGGCAGGATGGAGTGGGAAGCCCGTGGCTGGCATAGCAAGGGGCTGCAGATGAGGAGTGGGAGGCGTCAGCAGAGCTCTGCGTGTGGGGAGCCCAGTGCTGGAATCACAGAGGGAAGGAGCTGGTGCAGGCAATGAGATGCGGTTGCTGCAGTGTGTGGGAGCAGGGCTAGCTGTAGTTGCCACAAGTCAGCTTTTGAGGTGCAGGAAGTTGGATTGGAAGTTGCTCTGGGTGCTGATGAATGGGATGGAGGTGCCTTGGCCGAGCAGCGCATGAAAGCTTGCATAGTGCCTGCCGCTACACCAAGGGGCTCTACACAGAACTGTGGCAGGGGCCCCGGACCCCTGACTGGGAGCATGATTTAACTCGGCCTTTATGGCTCACATAGATACAGCTGGACCAAAGCCACCAGCACAGGGATCTCCTCCTGCTTATCTTTCAGCATAACTTGGTTTAGGGGATGCTCACTGGGTGATTTAATTCAAGTCATTAATTATTTTCTGGTCTGTTTAATTTTCTCCGACATGTCACATTCAGGATGCAGAGTGTAAGCAGATGTGACTCTGGCATGCTGGGAACATGGAGAAATCCAGCTCACCCAGACCTGGGCGTGTTAGCAGCCGGGCTGTGAGGGCTTTGCTCCCCGTGGGTCCTCTCAAGCTAAGCTGGGCCGGTACTTGGATGGTGAAATCTCTAAGAAAGCCCAGGCATGCTGCTGGAAGTAGTGACTCAGTGGGAGGTGCTCTTCCCTTGGAGTCCCTAGGTTGCCCAACTCCTAGCTAGTGCACTAAGCTCTGTGCCATCCTCCCTCTTCTTATCCTATAAAATTGGATGGAGCATGGGCGAGTGGTTTGTGCAGGGACAGAAAGTTAGGTTCTGTGGGACAGAATGAGGTCCACTGGCTACAGCAGAGTATTGGGGGTCAGGACTGCTGGGTTCCAATACAGGCTTTTCACCAATTCATTCTTTGGCCCGGGGTAAATCACGTCCCCGCTGTGTGCCTCAGTTTCCCAATCTGTAAAATGGAGATAATGGTTTTGACACACCTCCCAGGGGACTTGGGAAACATAACTAATGTCTGTAAAGTGCTTTGAACTCCTTGGATGGAAGGCTCTGGGGAATTATTATTCATGTCTCACGTGGCAAGGAGCTGGGCCTGCTCCAGAAGGCAACCTCTAGAAACTGACTGGTTTGGGGCACCACAGCAGTTGCTCAATGCCTCCCTATCCCCTCCACAGTGCTAAGGCACCACCATGCTCCCTGGCCCATTGACACAGAGCCTGATAGGGGCCTATTGGCCAACACTGACAAAAGGGCAACAGGTCAGTTGTGATGAATTCCCTGCTTTTGTGCAGCTCCTTCTCTGCCTAATGAACTCCCTGATAATTACGGGGGGGAGGGTCACAGCAGAGATGGGAGCAAAGGAAAACCCCAAATTCAATCAGCCCCAAACAGCTGATGGGGAGGGGGGCGTCCCTCAAGATCGAGTTCTAAGCTTTCCCTCTGCTGCTGCTATCACAGATGTAACCCCACTCCCCAGACCCAAACACCCACTGAATGCTGAGGAGCTTTGTATCCTGTCTGTGTGGTGCACACTCTTGCCCAATCCTGGGTCAATTTATGGTGGTTTCAGCAGAGTTTTGGGGTTCAGTTGAACTAGAAGTGAATCCTCTCCTCTTGGTTCTTACACCACGTTATCCAGCAACTACCAGTTCCCCACCCTTCTCCTGAAGCTGCCGCCTTCATCCTAGTGCGATCAGTGCTCCCGAAAGTCTCCATCTCAGGCATATCCATCAGCCCCAGTGCATCTTCCTGGCCCAGGCTACATGGGAGCAGCCAGTTTGTTTTCTTCAAACCTCAACAATGTTAACTAGATCTGCTCCTTCCCAGTCGAAACATATTGACTAAAGAACTCTCCTAAACTAATCTGAGCTATGATACATGCAGGTGCTGGCATTTCTGCTCCGGCTGGCTAACTCCATTAGATGACTGACACATCCCAGCCCTAACATTTCATTTACTTTTCTTTTAGAGCAGTTATCAGTCTATTTGCAGACAGATTCTGGTCATTCCAGAGGCACTTTGTACCTTACCACTCATTCTTGGTATTTGTAAAACACTGGGATTTGAACCCAGGCTCTCCACCACTCGAGTAACTCCATTCACTGATAGCAGTACTAGATTGTTAGCATCTAGGTGGGTCAGCCATTAGAGGGGTGGGACACAACATGTGTACAGATGTAACAGGCTAGCTTTTTTATAGTGCTTGTGTATAGATCACTTTTTGTGTAACATGTGGATCCACCCCCATCTCCCCTCCTTTTCTCTATTCCTCTGCAGCCCCACTTCTATCCCTCTAGACTTCCTAGCCACCCTTCTCCCAGTGCTCCTCCTTTTTTCCTGCCTGCTTTTATCCAATATGAATCACCAGGGGTGAGAATAATAAGTCATTCAGAGATGCAGTTAACCTTCCCATTCTGTGAATGAGTGGAAGTGACTCAAAGAGCATCATCACAGTGCATCTAAAGTCTGACTAAGTACTTAGCTGTCGTTCATCACTGTGCTGTCCAGGCACCTTACTGACACTCATGAGTTTATCCTTGCAACAACCCAGTGAGGTAGGGAACTATTACCCCTATTTTACTGATGGGGAAACTGAAACACAGAAATTAAGGCCCAGCTCCTCAAAGGTATGTAGGTTCCTAACTTCCATTGAAATTAGGAGCCTAAATTTCTTTGAGGAAACGGTCCTAAGTGATGTGCCGAAGATACACATGGCTAGGAATTGAATCCTGATCTTCTGAGGCCCAATCCAGAGCCTTTCCCACATGATCATTCCCCTGTATTTATGATTTGACTGGAGAATGGACTCCTAGGGTAAACATCTGGGTTATACTTTATTGCATCAAAAAAAAAAAAACCCAACACATTAAAAGCAAACTCAAAAGCTAGTAAATGCCAGAATTAAAGGTTGTTGGTTCATGATCATGTAAAGACTATCATAATGCACATGCACAAGGGGGCTCATTGGGTTTCTGGCCTGTCCACCCAGCCCAGGAAGGACTAACACCATACACAAAGTCTTTTCAAGTCCTTTCTTCAGGGCAGAGTTTGTTCTTCAAACACAATAAAGAAGTTCAACATAAATTCCCCATATAAACTTGGCCTTTCCCAGCCCTAACCCAGTGTCTCCTGTAGGGGCTTTTCCCCTGGCATCTTTCTCCCCCTTGCACTACAGCCTGCCATAGGCACCAGGCTCCCTTCTGCAGATCTCCATTAGGTGAGCTTTTTCCTCAACCAGGGCTGGGTGGCTCCAGGACCCCCAGCCCTTTAGGGGGCAATGCACCCTGTTCCAGGGCGAATCAACCTTAATTCTGGAATTCCCTAGCTCTTGAATGTGCTTGAATTTGAAACCTTGTGTTCTTTCCTTGTAGGGTTGTTTTTTGTTTTTTGATGTAATAAAGTATCACCCAAATGTTTTATATGTAAATCAGTTCCGGACAGGGTCGGCTCCAGGCACCAGCGTAGCAAGCAGGTGCCTGGGGCGGCCAATGAAAGGGGGACGGCACGTCCGGCTGTTCGGCGGCAATTCGGCGGCGGGGCCATCACTCCCTCTCCGAGCGAAGGACCTGCGCCGAATTGCCGCCGATCGCGATGGCGGCTTTTTTTTTTTTTGTGCTTGGGGAGGCAAAAACGCTAGAGCCGGCCCTGGTTCCGGAATCCTTTTACACTCCTGAACACTGGGACTTCTGCAACTGGTCTTTATGGAGCTATTCGTGCTTAGCTAGACTTGAGCACTGGAGATGCTTAACAAGATTTATGCATTAACTGTAACGACAATGAAAAGAAACTTGACTCCAAAGCCCAGCCCTGCAGTGAGCCACCATTGATTCATATTAAAGACAGAGAGATTTGGGGCTTGCAGTCAATCCAGGATTCTTTTGGCTTCAAACCCTTACCCGGTGGCAGCCAATACCCACTGGACCCAGATCCGAGCAGCTGGGATCCATTTCTGAACAACAGATGGAGCTGCAGGTCATCTTTCTGGGGCTGAGATTGAGTCCCTGCTGCCCCCCTCCCTCCAGTGATGCCTTTCCACGGGCCATTGTCCCACGGGACAGGATCTCCCTCCCAGCTGAACGCATTTGGAACATGCTGATCTGGATGGAAAATGCCTCCTAGTGTGTTTCAGAGTCTCTCCTCTCTCTCTCTCGCATTAGTTTCTTTCCACCACTCCTGCCCCCCAATTTAAGGGCTCAAGGGCCTGGTCTGGAACTGGCCAAACAAGGGGGCCAGTTGTAGCAATGGCTTATATGATGAAGACACATGACCCTCTAGGGCCTGGCTGAGACCTACCAAATTCATTGCATCCCATCAATGGGAACAACTACCATGCTCAGGATGTGTTTGTATGGCCCCGTGGCCCCGATCTGCACTCTGGGGACTACAAATAAATGCAAAGCAGTGAAAGGCCGTGCCATTCCCACTCGCCTGAGCCAATTCATTTGCCGTAGTGAGATCCAGAAACTTTCCCCCTACAAAGAAGAATCAAATCCACATGGTAAACAGCCCCACTGGAAGATATAATCCCTTTCTCTCCCTCAGAAAGGCTCCAGTTTGGATGCTCCCAATAGAATTAGGTCAAGTTGGACTCAAAATGAAGGCAGCAGGAGGATTTTAAATGCAGACGGTAGAGAAGGTAGAAGTGGATGCAAAGAGGGGAAGAGAGACAGATGAAGGGGGAAACAACAAGAGAATGGATGGGAGATGTCAGCTACTGGAATTATAAACTACAAAATTACCTGGATTTCCATGATCTGAAAAGCCTGGGAGGGTATTGAAGGAAACTGAAGAGCCCCTCACATACTCCATTCCTCCCCAGTGAGTTGCTCACACCACTCGCTGCAGCACAGCGCCTCCTAGTACCACACTGGAGTATTGGGCCAGCATGGACTCAGCTGGGAGAGTACCCCCTACTGAGTCACTCATACCACATGTGCTGTAATACTCAGGGCCGGCTCCAGGCACCAGCGCAGCGAGCAGGTGCTTGGGGCGGCCAACGGAAAGGGGCGGCACGTCCGGCTCTTCGGTGGCAATTCTGCAGAAGAACGAAGTGGCGCGGTGGAGCCACTGAAGTGCCGCCGATCAGTGTTTGTGCCGCCCCACCCCCGGCCGCTTGGGGCAGCAGAAACACTGGAGCCGGCCCTGGTAATACTGCATTGAAGCATTGGCGCTCAGATATTATGGTGAGGAATGTAGCATAAGAACCTATATAGAACAGAATAACACCAGGGTCAGCATTGATTCAGAGGGGAGAGCACCCTCTGCTGAGTCACACTGCTTTTTGCAGCACCCAAGTGTACCTTGAGGGTCTCCCAGACAAATTCTGACTAGGGGTTATTATATGCAGTGTGGTTGTAGTTGTGTTGGTCCCGGGATATTAGAGAGACAAGGTGGGTGAGGTAATATCATTTATTGGATTGACTTCTGTTGGTGAGAGAGACACGCTTTCAAGCTACACAGAGCTCTTCTTGTCTCTCTCACCAACAGAAATCGGTCCAATAAACGATATTCCCTCACCCACCTTGTCTCTCATGGTTCTAATCGCTTTCCTATTGTTTGCAGCTGTCTCTGGTTCCTTCCCCACAAGTCTGGGAGGCAGATTGCTGGCAGTATAACGATGCAGCATCCATCTGGATGTAATTTCTTACCTACTTTTGCAATGGTTATTTTTGTGGGATGTTCTAGGGTGCAGACACTTGTATAATCTGTAAACCTGGCTATGAATTCATGAATCTGTTATTTCGAAGCTGAGGGGGCAGAAGGTTGTGCAAGCGTAGTAGGGAATCTGGACTGAGGGAGAATTTCCGGTCCTATTCCTGCAAACACTGAAGCATCTGAGTAACTTTATGCAGCCATTGAAATCAACAGTAGTACTCATATGCCTTAGTGAGTATTTCTCTTTAAATAAATCTGATCTTCTAATTATTGGAAATTTAAATATGGGATAAAAGGTGACCTGCAAAAGATTTTTTAAAAATGCTCTTTTTTGTTTCTTTATAGTGTGTTTAAAAGGCCTGATTTTTTTTTTCTAATTTCTTTTTCCTGCCTGTTTTATATCTCAAAACTTTGGGTCTTTTCTACCCCAAGCCCTGTGGTTAACTGGAGAGCTACTTGGGTTATGAGCTCAAAGGTCCTAAGGAAGTGAAACATGTTGAGAGAGAAGTGATTTTTTTTATTATTATTCTATTTTTGTTAATTTCCATTTAAGTCAAACACTTGGGCATGGGCTAGTGGGTAAAGTCCTGGATGTGGCCTCAACTGACTCTACCACTCACCTGCTGTGTGATCCTGTGCAAGTCACTTCCCTCCTTGGTCTGTCTTGCCAATTTAGTCTGTAAACTCTTCAGTAGAGCTACTGTCTCTCACTACGTAGTGTGCAGCACCTTGCACAAAGGGGCCCTGATCTCCGTAGTATCTAAAGTGCGTTAAATGAAAGGTTAACATGTTTTAAAACGGCACAGCCCAAATCACCCCCGAAGCAAGTAGCGCTCTGTAAGAGATCTCGTCAAAATTAGAACTCCCCCTACCGGCTTTGAGCCCAGGCCATTCCAAAGAGATGCCATGAGACACATACAACAAAACATCATGACCAGATTATTGAAAAGTGGCCACTGATTTGGGACGCTCCCATTTTTTGGATGTCTTGGACCTGATTTTTTTGTGTTCAGAGGAGCTACAGCAGGAAGTGGGGGGATAGCTTAGTGGTTTGAGCATTAGCCTACTAAATTCAGTGTTGTGAGTTCAATCCTTGAGGGGGCCACTTAGGCATCTGGGGCAAAATCAGTACTTGGTCCTGCTAGTGAAGACAGGGGGCTGGACTCCATGACCTTTCAGGGTCGCTTCCAGCTCTAGGAGACAGGTATATCTCCATATATTCTAATGGTGAGCAGTCAGCAGCTCTGAAGAGCGGGCCCCTACAGGGATGGGGGTTTCAAAAGCCCCACAAGTGATCAATGTTATTGGGCTCAATGCAGGAGTAACTAGGTGAAATTCTGTTCCCTGTGAAATACAGGAGATCAGACTAATGTCCCTCCTGGTCTTAAAATCGAAGGGTATGTCTACACTTTGGGGGTGTGTGTGATTCCTTGCTCCAGGAGACTTGCACTAGCTCTGCTCCAGTTAAAATAGAACAGTGCTGCAACAGCGTGTGCAGACAGAGGGACTAGCTCTCCCCGGTATGGGCCTCTGGCCTCTGATGTGTATGTGCTCAGGGAGGCTGGCCCTACCCAGCGCTTGTGCTGCCACAGCTACTCTCTATTTTTAGGGTGCTAGCTGAAGGCCTTGTTGTGCTCGGCGCTGTACATACATATAATGAAACCATGGTCCTTGCCCCAAAGAGCTTCCGATCCAAGTATAACATGGGAGACAACAGGTGGGTAAAACAAACAGAAGACTGGAGGCCAAGCTAATGGTGAGGCAATTATGATGAACATACAGCAGGATCAGATCACAGCCTTATGGCAAGACTAGCATGCCCCTTAACATGCAGCATGTAATCTCTTTGGGCCAGGGATGGTCCTGTTGTTAAAGGTGTGCACAGCACCCAGCGCAGTTCCCTGGTTATAGCCACTGGGCACTACTGCAGTACGAGTGATGTTCATAATTTAGCAGGGACTTTCTTTTGCAAAGCGTTATACAAACCCACATCAATCCTCCCGAGAGGTCGGTCAGTATCATCACCTCCCTTTTGCAGATGGGGCAGTGACCTACCCAAGGTCATGCAGGGAGGCAGATTAGAGCTCTGGTCTCTCTTTGAGTGTGTCCTGTGACCCCGTTAGCAATTGCAATCACAGAAGAGGCTTCCCCCATGCCACCTCTTGGGCCTCTGATCTTGGTATCAGCCAGCCTCTGCTGGAGCTAAAAGAAACCGCTCCTGATGCTCTGAATCCTAAAGCAGGGGGGTTTCCCCAGGCGCAACACGGCTTGTTCACTACCCAGGAGCAAAACCCGTCTGTGTGGTGGTTTGTTTTGTTCAGCACAATCCCTCTCACTGATGATTTAAAACAAGGCAGGAAGAGGCTGCCAGAGTCAACTCATTCTGTGTAACCAGAAGCAGCCTGAGGGGTTTCAGCAGCTGTAGTTTAATTACCATTTTTTTCGGTTAGCATAAATAATTTAAATTGGGTTCCTGTCATGAATTGTTTTATGTACTTAATAACCACACGGCCAAGCAAGGAGGGGGAGCCAAACAACAACTCAAGAGAGGGGAACCAGGGAGGAAATCACATACTGGGCAGACAATAGGCTGGAAAAGAAAAATATCATATTCCCTCCCCTGCCCTTCTTCCCCAGAGAAAAAAGAATAATGGTGTCAGTCTTTTTATTGAGAGGTGTAATAAAGATGGGACTTACCTGCGAGAGGCAGAGCAGAGAGATGGTTTAACAGACTGATCGCCCAGAGAACTACATCCTTGTGTGGAGTCAAGTCCAAGACGGAGAGGGCTCTCTGGCCACATGCAAAGTGATTGTGGGGGAGCTGGGTACAGGCTCCCTCCCCCCCAATTTAAAGCAGTGCTTTCCACCCGCCCCTTCTTGTCAGTACAGAACTGATGACAAAGCAAAGCAAGCTGATTGATTTCTCCTCCCTATCTCTGATCCCCTCCCTCTTACTCTCCTCTCATCATCAGGGAAATCTACCCCCCCCCCCCCTTCTCCCAGCGGCTGGGACTGTCAGCTGGCCCTGGTTCTCTTCCAAGCTGGCTTTTCCGGGGGGAAAGCACCATGCCCTGAGCTTGGCTGGGATCCGTACTTCACCCATCTACCCTCCCTCTTTTCCCCCACCTCATCCCACATCCTCTGGCTGCAAGCGTTCTGGGAGATGAATTATTTTTCTTCAGATGAAGAGATGGGAGGCCGGGCACAGCTGGCTGCATTAACCCTTTGCTGGCTGCGGGCAGCTCTTGTTCTTTCCTGACGATCCGATGAGATACAGGTGAGTAGCACATGCCGGATATCAGGGTGGGAGGAGAGGAGTCTCTGGGGATGACAAGAGCCATCTCTCTCTTGGATTTGTGTCCCCTTTGCATGCTGCCAAACCCACTGTCACAGATACAAATATGAGACAGGGCAATGAAACCACAAAATGTGGATCCAGACACCAGATTCCCTCCAGGCTGGTGGCATTCACGGCTGTTTGGCATTGGGGGTTTAGTTCAGCCCTTTATAAAGGCAGGGGCCACTTGTGAAAATTCAGCACCGGGGTTCAAATTTCAAGCACCACCCCCAAAGTTCTCAGGGTGTTGGTTCCTGCTCATCCTAGATTATAAGCAATTGAAAGGAAGGAGCAGCAAGATGGGATCAAGTCAATTTCAACGCCTCTGTTTGGTGGTCTTAACCAGAACCCCAGTGCCCTCCTTCCACATTGAAGTCAGTGTCTATTTGATGACATTTCCTCTCACCAGTCCTTTTAACTCCTTCCCTTGAGCTTTGTCAGTTCAGAGTTCTGAGCGTCTGATCCAGAGCTAGAATCTATCTGCCTAGGATATTTCTAGGGGCCTGAGATGTAGCACCCAAGCTCTGGGTCCATGGGACAGCGCCCTCATCTCTGGTTTTCAGGAGCATTGGTTTTGATCCCCTGTGCCTTTGCTCTGTCTGTGAGTGGGGGAGGAGGAAGTAAGAGAAGAGTGTGCTGTTACAGAAAGAGAGGCAGATGGGAGTTGGAGTTGCTGAGGTGATAAGAACTCTGCAAACCCTTCCCTCTCCATTATATTTCATACTGCACCTCTTCCCCCCACCCCCATTTCCTTCCCTTGGCCTTTCTCCCCATAGTTAAAAAGTAATTTGGAGTTTTCCCATCTTCTCTGCCCAAAATCTACTGGCATTGTTCAGTACTGCTTTTGTCTTTCTCTGTATCAACCTTAAAAAGACTGAACGAGAGAGAGGGAGAGATTGATTTCTGAGACAACAGGATTATTTTTGTCTCCTCCTCCTCCTCGTCTGCTCCACAGAACAGATGCTTCCGGCAGGCATGAAGTGTACAGTCTCAAGCTGCCTCTTTCAGTCCCTTTCTGCTTTTCAAGCACTACCCTGGCTAGCACGACCGGACCTATTGAGATCTCCAGAGCAGAGCTCAGGGCGAGGGAGCTGTCAGCTCAGAAGGGTCAAAAGGGTCAGCTCAGAGCCTCCAGCTTAGCACTTCTCAGCCATTGCTCAGCCTGTGTGGCTGGGAGAGGAGTTGATGTCTGCTGTCTAGCCTTTGGGAGGCTGCAGCTGGAAGTGTCTTGAGCTGGACTGAGATCAGACATCGCTGGAGATGCAGAGGGACTTGGTAGGGAAGGGCTGGGTGATTCAGTTCAACGAGCACTGGAGCAGTTTTCCTGCAGGTCAAAATCAGCTTGGGTCAGCAGTGGCCAAAAGTTGTCCCCATCTGACAGCTGTGTAATGGCTTAAGCATGGAATGAGTCAGATGGGGCTCAGCCCAGCTTCTGGTAGGACCAGGTCCCCATCACAAAGCCATCACCATGCTTGGTCTCCTCTTAGCCAGGTGGCAGCTGTTTGGAGGCCCCTGTGTGAAAGAAGGTGGTCAAGGGTTCAGCTTCGCAAAGTCGCTGTGACAATGAGCCCTGGTTGGCTGTCTCCGCAGACAGGCCAAGGACAGAGCGAGCCAGGAGACTCTTCTCTCATCCCTAGAGGAGGCCCCTCCATTCAAGGGCAGCTCCAGGCACCAGCGCAGCAAGCGCGTGCCTGGGGCGGCAAGCCACGGTCGCTGTGAGGGCGGCAGACAGGCTGTCTTCGGCGGCATGGCTGCGGGAGGACCGCCGGTCCCGCGGCTTCAGCGGCGGGTACGCCAAAGGTGCGGGACCGGCAGATCACCCACAGAAAAGCCGCCGAATCCGTGTGACCAGCGGACCGCCCGCAGGCATGCCGCCGAAGGCCACCTGACTGCCGTGCTTGGGGCGGCAAAAAACATAGAGCCATCCCTGCCTCCATAACAAGGTGAGGCATACTAGGGAGTGTGGGAAGGGGTGGAGCATGCTGCCCTGACTGTACCTTTATGGAGGATTCAGTTTCTGGGTCTGACTTGATAAGAGTCTTCGGATTCCATTGGTCTGGAGATTAACTGGAAACCATTCAGTGCGGGTTTCTCATGATCATAGAATGATCTCCTCTGTCCTCCACCCCTCACTCCCGCCACAGCCTACTGCCTGTGCCATGCATGGAAACGCCGATTTCACTGTCTTGTGCCTCCATTTCTCCATCTGTGAAGTATCATACTACTGAGATTAGAAGCCTTTTGGGGGCAGAGACGACTTTTTGTTCTGTGTCTGTACAGCACCTAGCACAGTGAGGTCCTGGGCCATGATTGGGGCTCCTAGGCACTACCGTAATACACCTAATAAATAATAATAATGTATTTCTTACAACAGTCCCTATATCCGACTACTACTAATATTTACCTCAGCAGTGCTGCGCAGAGTAGAGTCCACCAGGTGCTTTGAGATCCTCTTGTGACAAGTGCTACAGCTGGGTAAAGCATTGCTGCTAATAATTACAGCTATCATTGGGCATGATTATTAAGATTATTGACAGGTATTTAGGGAGCACATGACTTGGGGAAAACCCCACCAGGAAGTGTGCTGCATAGGGAAGCAGCTTGTGCTGTAGCTGCTGTGAGATGCTCGCATGGCAGATCCATCTGTAGAGATGCAAAAACATTCGGTTTCCGGCAGAGAGATGGATCTGGGTGATAGACGGGTGGGCAGTGAGAATAAAATCCTTCCGGTGTGGAATCTCTGCCACTTCTTGTTCTCTAGCCTGAATCAGGGCAGATAATGTAGCTTAATGGTTAAAAACAGATGCTCTTAGGGCAGGTCTACACTATGGCGGGTAGAAATCGATCTCTCGGGGATCGAATTATCGCGTCTCGTCGGGACGCGACAATCGATCCCCGAATCGACCCTTCTATTCCACCAGCAGAGGTGGGAGTAACCACCGTCGACGGGGGAGCCGCGGAAGTCGATTTGCCGCCGTCCTCACAGCGGGGTAAGTCGGCTCCGATACGTCGAATTCAGCTACGCTATTCACGTAGCTGAATTTGCGTATCTTAAATCAATTTCTTTCCCCCCCCCGTAGTGAGGACGTCACCTGAGTATGAGCTGTGGGTGTAAGAAAGTATCTGAGAGAGCTGGGTTCTCTTCCTAGCTTTGGAAGGAATTGTGAAGTGGTCAGAGCAGGTGATGGGGGCTCAGGACTCCTGGGTTCTGTTTCTGGGAGAGAGTGAATGTGATTAACGCAGCAGAATTAGGATCGGAGACCTCCTAGGTCTAGTGGTTAGAACTGGGATGTACTATATTGATTGGCACTATAGAAAATCCATCTATTAAGGGAGTCAGGACTCCTGGGTTCTATTCCTGGCAGTTACCCTGCAAGTAGTAACTCTTTCAAGATGGGAGCCTGTGTCAGGAGAAACAGTACCAATCACTGCTTTTGGCTGAAGGTTGGTTGGCACGTGGCCTCTTCTGGCTGAATCCCTGCAACACTCCTAGTTCCGTTTCGGATGCTAAACTGGGTCAGGCTGGATCAGCACCTGACTGATCAGCTAAGGAAGATCCAGGTGTGGTGGGAAGTGGGGTTGATGATTCGTTATTAGGGGGCATCCTTCCACTTCAGGCAGTACTAAACCGGCTTGGTGCTGGCAGGCACTGAACTGCAAGAAAAGTCACACACAGACCTGGGGCCGGGCCATTTGTGCTCCTTAAAGGTCCCCTGGTAGTTTGCCCAAGAGTTGGGAGATTCGCGCTGATGTCTTGAGCAAATCCCAGTTTAGTTAATTTTATTCTTCATCCCTAAATCGCCCAGTGGTTTTCAACTGGAAATGGCATTATCCTTCACTTCCTGTCTCAAACTGTTGTGCGGCATTGCTGTTGACTGTTAAACAACTGGTGTGACCCCTGGTGGGTGAAATGACCTCTACACAGATCCTGTACTCTCTAAAGCACTTTGGGATGAAAGGTGCTAGACAGCTTTAAGCCATGAGAGGGTGACACACTTTAACTCTTTTTCTGCTGGTTCATCTTTCGGCATCTTCATGGTAGTGGTTTGAAGTGCCATCAGAAACAGCCAGGGCAAAGGGGCTGGCTTGTTTGCACTGTGAACTCTTCGCCTAGCGTAGTCCACGTGACATATGCCAGTGGCTGCTCTAGGATAACGGAGCTCCTTCAGTGCTAGCAGCTCCCTCAAATCCTCAGTGATGACACAGCCAATGTGGGGTTGGATTTTGGCCCCCACATGCTGGCTAGGTACATGGGACCAGGCATCTGAAGGGGATATTTATGCCCTGATGTATCTAGCAGAGCTGGGCAAATTTGAATGGGTTAAGAATGCAGTCTTTATTTCCCTTCACCTTGTTGACTGCATACGAGGAGACTAAGGTTGGCTACCACGATTCGGGTCATCAGAGAATGAAACGTCAGCATGAGAGCACCTTATGTGGTGGTTACGGTACCACGCACAGCAGCCCACCCATCCCCTTTCTGAGTCTCCGCAGGCATTCGCTGGGCGCCGGTGCGTGTTTTAATCATGGAGACATTAACCTAATGGCTTCGGTAGGAAGTCACTGGCCCATTGCAGCAGAAAATTGTTAATGAGCGATGGGAATTGCTCACCCAGCTGTGCCC